GTACGGAAGCTCGTGTGGATCATAAGGGGTGAAAAACGCGACAGGGGAGGAGCGGCAGCGAAGGGCCGATGTCTGACGTGGAAAGTGCCAGGGACGGAGTAACAACCCAACTTTAGGGCGAACTCTGTCGCTTCTCCGGCTGTAACTGCAGCGGGCCTCCCCCGGACAAGAGCATGAGTCTGGACAAAGCAGAGCCGTGTGACTCACTCTTAACCTGGGTAAGCCTGACATCTAGCCACGGAGCCAACGGGTGACAGCAGGACTGGGCTGATTAACCAAACTGTCGTCTTTGATCCTACGCAGCCAAACATTTAGTTTTACGAGCAACCCACAAGCAGTTTGAGTCTGACAGCGTCTAGCTGTAGACACCGACTCAGGCTAAGACCAAACTAGCAGCTGGTGTTAGTTTAGCTAGTAGCTAACTCTGACACCAGTTAGGACCAAACTAGCAGCTAGCGTTAGTTTAGTTTACTGACCATGAAACATCACAGGAGGCTAGTTTGGTCTGAGTAGTCCCAACCGTGGTGTCAGAGTAAGCTACTAGCTAAACAAACGCTAGCTGCTAGTTTGGTCCTAACTGGTGTCAGAGTAAGCTACTAGCTAAACTAACACTAGCTGCTAGTTTGGTCTGAGTGGTCCTCCTAACTGGTGTCAGAGTAAGCTACTAGCTAAACTAACACTAGCTGCTAGTTTGGTCTGAGTGGTCCTCCTAACTGGTGTCAGAGTAAGCTACTAGCTAAACTAACACTAGCCGCTAGTTTGGTCTGAGTGGTCCTCCTAACTGGTGTCAGAGTAAGCTACTAGCTAAACTAACACTAGCTGCTAGTTTGGTCTTAGTGGTCCTCCTAACTGGTGTCAGAGTAAGCTACTAGCTAAACTAACACTAGCTGCTAGTTTGGTCTGAGTGGTCCTCCTAACCTTAGTGTCAGAGTTAGCTACTAGCTAAACTAACACTAGCTGCTAGTTTGGTCTTAGTGGTCCTCCTAACTGGTGTCAGAGTAAGCTACTAGCTAAACTAACACTAGCTGCTAGTTTGGTCTTAGTGGTCCTCCTAACTGGTGTCAGAGTAAGCTACTAGCTAAACTAACACTAGCTGCTAGTTTGGTCTGAGTGGTCCTCCTAACTGGTGTCAGAGTAAGCTACTAGCTAAACTAACACTAGCTGCTAGTTTGGTCTGAGTGGTCCTAACCGTTGTCAGAGTTGGCTACTAGCTAAACTAGCACCTGCTGCTAGTTTGGGCTCCACACACAAACCTTAAGCCTCATGCTACTGAAGAAGCTAGCAGTATTTTTCAGCTCGGGGAAAATCCACCTGTTTGGCACCTGTCCCCAGTGGGAAGCTCTCAACACCAGGTGATATAATTAGCATCTTAAGCTTGTAATCCCCATCATATTTAGCGTATTTTATTTGCAGAGATTTACTAGCTTTTTGATAATCTGCCTCATACCGAAGATATAAGACCTGACAGAATAACAAGATACTAGAAATACACAAATCGCGTTTACCCCACTCTGAGGAAGTGTTGGTTTTTATAAATATCAGTGGATAACGTTTATCAACCCACAGTCATGTCTGTTTTCATCACTGCAGAATCACGTTTATGAATAGTTTTAACCTGAAGCCACCACGTCTTATTCCTGGTAGGATCAGTCACCTTTGATCTAGTCCAGGAGGGGAAAGGATTTCCTGAAACACTGACTGGCATTTAAGCACCAGTAATACCAGAATGTGACGGTGTTCAATGAAATACAACAAAAAATCCCTGATTTCCAATGTTTTTATTCTCAGTTACAGACTTTTCAGGTCCCATCATGCAGCAGCAAACGTGAGCTAACGAGTGGAGTGGCCATCGCACACGTCCTGAACAGACTGTAAGCAGATCTAGTTACTCATGTGCAAACGGTTTGTTAGAGTTAACATGTTACACTCTGGGATTTACGTATCTGTGGGATTTGCATTTTAAGTGCTTTTGGGTTGTGCAGCTCTATGCAAAGTTTGAACTGCTGGACATGTAAAAGCTGGAGTGGGGGGGGGCCTGTCTGAGAGGGGTCTGCCCAGTTGTGACCTCGGGGAAAGGTGTGTAGCTTGTGATGTGTGTCGTTGCTTTACTTCCAGGTGACGAATAACACTTCTGATTGATTTTTTTAGTTATTATTTTTGTGTTTGGTGGCTTTAATGGGGAGTTTAACTCCAGTGTTTCCACTACCGTTATATCACGGGGGTGCCTCACCTCCCAGTGAAGGTCAGGTAATTTTTTATTATAATTTCCGTTAATGTCAGATTATATCAGAGGTCCTCAAGGCTCACCTTCCCATCGGACAGGTCTAGAGACGGTTTTTTTACTTTCAAAAACATAGCTTGATATCGCTCAGGATTACATGACTGCATGTCATGGTTATCTACACACACACACACACACACACACACACACACACACACAGGTTTGCAAACTGCCACCCATTGATGGATCACATTGAACATACTTCGCCTCACCCATCTGAAAAACCTATAAGCTGGCTATTAAAGAAACCTCCGTGAGTGGAGAATATGGAGACACTCGCTGCCGATGCAGCCCGTGTCGACTTTAATGTCAAAAACATTCCAACAGATTCTATTTTTACTCTTGGACTTCCGTACTTCCCGGTGTTTTAAGAAAAGCGGACAGAGGGTTTGGGATAATGAAGGAGCCAGCTGTTCTCAGGCAGGTCAAACGGGAAGTTTCAGGTCGTTCTCCCATTCAGAAGGAAAGAAACGCCGAGTTACAAACGGACAGAGCTGTGTGAGACCTGGTGTCTTGTTTATTTAAAAATAAATGTTCTGGTTTTCAATAACTGAATAACTGAACTGGACTGATGTGCAGCAGGGCTCGAGCCCAGGTCCGGTGAGAGGAGCGAGCTTTGGGTACAGCTGGCCTAGCACATGTATGCGAATACTCGATGCAAAAATACCTCATAGCTTCCTAGACGGGTGTGCATGCTGTCTCCCAAAAGGTGTGACATTAATAGCCATTTGCTCCAGATTCTAGTTTTTAATGTTTTGCCTGTATAAAAACAAAGATGGCGGCCTTTTCCTGTGCATGTTGTTGCTCTACTGGTCTTCGATGTTCTCATTAACAGAGACCCCGCTTGGTTTAATGAGACATGGCTTGGCAGGATCAAGGAGGAGAGCGAGGACAACTGGCGCCTGAAGGTAATTTGTGAAACGGCGGGATGTGACGGAGTACTTTATGGTTACCTGGAACGACAATTGTGTCTTTCCCCTTTTTTCATTCTTCGAAACGCACGCGCGGTTCTTCTCTCAGGTCAGCAACCTGAAAAAGATCCTGAAAATCACGCTGGAGTACTACCACGATGTAAGGCTGTTTATGGACTTCCCTTCGTTATTACTGAGGACCGCTATCAGCTGATGCATGTCTGGCTTCACCGTACGCAGGTGCTCGGACACCAGGTGTCGGACGAGCATCTACCTGATGTCAGCCTCATCGGGGAGATGGGAGACGCCACTGAGCTCGGCAAGCTGATGCAGCTGGTGCTGGGCTGTGCCATCAGCTGTGAAAAGAAGGAAGGTGAGATGGTGGCTGCAATAGTGACACACACGCACATGCACGCACACACACACACACAGGCACGCACACACACACACACACACACACACACACATATGCATGCACACACGCACGTGCACGCACACACACACACAGGCACGCACATGCACGCACACACACACACACAGGCACGCACATGCACTCACACACACACACACACACACACACACACATATGCATGCACACACGCACGCGCGCACGCACACACACATGCACACACACACACAGACACACATGCACACACACACACGCATATGTATGCACACACACACGCATATGTATGCACACACACATATGCATGCACACGCACACACTCACACACATACATGCATGCACACGCACACACACACACATGCATATGTATGCACACAACACATATGCATGTGCGTGTATGTGTGTGTGTGCATGCACACACACGCACATGCACACACGCACACACACACACACACACACATACACGCACATGCACGCACACACGCATGCACACGCACACACACACACGCATATGTATGCACACACACATATGCATGCACACACACACACACACACGCATATGTATGCATGCACACACACCCACACATACATGCATGCACACACACACACGCATATGTATGCATGCACACACACACGCATATGTATGCACACACACACACACACACATATACATGCATGCACACACACGCATATGTATGCATGCATGCACACACACACACATACATGCATGCACACACACACACGCATATGTATGCACACACACATATACATGCATGCACACACACGCATATGTATGCATGCACACACACACATGCACACACATGCCCGCACGCACACACACAGGTGCACGCACACACTCACACACACACACACACACACACACACACACACACACACACACACACACACAACAGACACAGGGTTAATTAGGTATAACGTTGTTTAAATTACGTGGAGGACTGAAACATCAGTTTCGCGAACATCGGTGCTCCGATAATGGAATCTGATCTGTTTTCAGGTGAGACTATTTGTGTTAATCTGGACTTGGCTGCACATGAACTGTTTGTTGTTTTAATCCCCAAACGCAGAGCAAATCCAGCAGATTATGACTCTTGAGGAATCGGTCCAGCATGTTGTGATGACAGCCATTCAGGAGGTGAGCGAGCGTCCTCATTCGTCCTCTCGCCCTTTTTTATCTTTTTTCTTGCTTTGCGTCAGTCGAGCTCTTCGTCACGAGAACTCACAATCAAAAGACGTAAACGAAGCCCGGCGACGCCCCTCTGCTCTTTCAAGAATAGTTTAGTCTCTAGTTTGAGCCAACGCTGAAGGAGTTTATTAACGTGATATTAAAAATAAACAAGACAAATGCTTCAGTCCTTGATGTTTATCTCCTTGAGCTTTC